GTATCACAAATCCAGAAAACGTTTGGAATGCTACTTGGAAAAAACTATCACAAGATATATTATGCAACCAAAGAAAAAATACGGATAAACTAAGTAAACTCATGTTTTTATCAAAAGAAAACGTCATTAGAAATTGTGTTTGGGTAAATATAATTTTTTACATGTTCTTTCAGACTTGGAGTAGATTGAATCAATCATGTTTTTGAACGGAAGCTCATTGACGTTGTTTAAGTTTTGAACGTGTTATCAATAGTATACTCTTCTATTGGTTAAGCTGTGGCTTTTGTTAGAATTTCTATTAATTGAATTTTTTTTTTTACTTTTGTGGAATTCACGTTATTGTAATGTTATAAATTAATAATAAAAGCATTTTCTCATTATTGTCGTATAAGTTCTTAAGTTTTATTACATCTTTTTTTCATAGTATTGTCTTATAACTTTGATTAGATCACTGAAACAAAAAGTGAATTGATGTATCAAATGTACTAATCTTTAATGACCTAATTAAATTCGGTTGTCCCAAATCAGAATAACGAGAGAGAGAGAGAGAGAGAGAGAGAGAGAGAGAGAGAGAGAGAGAGAGAGAGAGAGAGAGAGAGAGAGAGAGAGAGAGAAAGAGAGAGGGGGATATGTGTAACATTTCTTTTAATCTGTCTACATACATTTTACGAAAAATTTATGCATAGTAATATTTTCACCTAAAATAAAGAATTACAACACATATACAATGCAATTCTAATTAGTGATAATAGAAAATATGTTACTTATAAAACTACACACTATTAATTTCAGATTTGGAAAATAAAATTCAACCTTCAACACATAATTTTTTTTTGTGATGTTGCAATTATAAATACACACAATAACTACCTATTGATACTGAAGTTACTTTGTTCCATCTCCTCCATGTAAAATATTGTGTACTGACGACATTTTTTTGTGCCTGAAGCTTTACCTCAAAGACGGTGGTCTTATGATATAAAATCTATTACTTCTAAAACTTTGTATTATTAAGTCCATAATTTGAATTTGTATATACCCGCACAGGGTGCGGGCCGGTCACCTAGTATAACTTAGAAATTCATCCTATAAGATAAATTTAATAAATTTTTAATTTATTTTATCTATCTTAACATGAATTTAATAAAATTTTAATTTATTTTATCTATCTTAACATGATATTAAAGTCTAACATGCTATTAAAGTCTGTTCTATATACTCCAACTCGATTCACATTGATTTAGCATTTAGCCTGAAGTTCTCCAACCCGATACACATTGATTAACATTTAGACCTAAATTATTCATTAATCTTTGTTCTAACATTTAGAACATTATCATCTCAAAGTGGTATATAATAATTGTTTTTCGAAATCGGAAGTTAAAGGAATATTAACTAATATATAATTAATATATCAGAGAGATGGATTATTCTGGTTTTAAGTTAAAATTAGATTTTGACCCGCGCTTTCAAAGCGCGGGTTTATGTTTTGATGCAAATTTTATATAATCACATTTCCTATATATGTAGAAATGTGGGATAAACTTGTTTAGTTCTTTAATTTCATCAAACATAGTCTTTTTAAAAATGCAGGATAATCTTTCAGTGAAAATTTTCTATGACCGCAATTTTGTTTTATATAAAGTAGACATGTGCATAAAATCCATAACTCGGCGTCTAAACTCAATCTAAACAAAAAAAAATTGGATCCGTAACCGGTCAAAAATCTAAAATATATCAAAATGAGTTTTGTATGGTGGTACAAAATATATCCAAATCAAAGTGTTATTAGCAAGACCCAAACGAATAACCCAAAAAACAAAAAATCTGGAAAAAAATCTGAACTGATCTGAATGCCCAAATTAATCATAAATATAAATATTTGAAACATAAATATCTAGTTTAAATATTTAGTTCTAGATTTATTTTAAAATGATATTTATCTAAATTTTAACTAAGTACTTTCATATCCAATTCTATAAAAATAAGTATCTTTTTTTTTTTTTTTGGTTTTAGATTTTAGATTACCAAACCAATATAATCCGAATTCGAACGATATATGGTTACTTTATCGGTTTTAGGATGTGTACAAATTAGAACAAAACCCGACGTGTTATATTTGAATCTGATCCATACTTACAAACATGTCTACTTACATAATATGACACCTATGATGTGATATAAATTAGCTTTGATTCAAAATATTCGACCCGTATCCCAATGGGTACTTGAATTCCCAAGCATAACTTATATTATGTTTTATATTTTGTTAAATTAATTTTATGTTTGATAAATATTTTTCTATTTATTAGAATAACCCGTAGAATTATAATCATAAAAATATCAGTAATAACATGTTTCATCATATAATTAAATATTAATAGTAGCTATTATTAATATTTATTTTATATAAACTTATATATATATAAACGATTTTAAGACTTTATCTATGATAATTATATTATTATGTATTGGTGGAGGTTTGAAAAAAAAAATTTATTATTATTTTGTGTATCAGTTACATATAATTAAATGTTAATTTTTAATATCCTAATGTTTTAATTTAGATATGTATATTAAAATATAAAATTATTTGATTTTTTTTTAATATCTTATGGTAGTATTTTGTTATTTTGTAAATGTAATTCATCTAATTTATAATTTATAAAGTTGATTAAATTATATTATAATTATTATTTTGAGTAATTTTTAGTTACAATATATGAAATATTTATATATAAATGTTATAGAAAGTTAGTTCTTATTTTATAAATCAAAATGAGTTAATACTCATTTATAATTTAATTTAATATTATTTACGTTTTTATTATTAAAATAATATTGAAACAATAAATATTTTTTTTTAAATAAAAATATATTAAAGATATTGTTAAAATGTAATATGAAAAAAGTAGTTAAGAGTATCTTTTTGATATCTTATTTTGAATATATTTAAATATTATATTAATATTATGTTGTTATTTAATAATAACTAAGTTTGTTATATGTAACATAACACAAAATTAAATAAATGTAATGTTTTGAGGTAAACTACTTGCAAGTAAATAAAACTAAGAAAGGTGATCCGTAATATAACCAATTAAAATATCTCTTTTCCTCTATCTCTCTCTCTCTCTCTCTCTCTCTCTCTCTCTCTCTCCACAAAAGGCGATTTCCGGTGAGTGTTGTTTGTCTCTCCGGCGGTTGGCTTCAGCCGTCACCGCTGTGAGAGGGCCCCCTTTCTATGTCTAATCTCTGCCACCATGTGCTGTGCTTTCTTTCTAGGTCTTCAGATCTGTGGCAGTGTTGTGAGAGTGGAGCTTCCAAGGCGATGGTGTTTTGCGCGGTGGTCTGTGAGTTTTGGCCCGGGCTCTAGCTTCACGTACTAGATTTGAGGGGTCGGATTAGGCACGTGGAGCCCAAGCTCTCTCCGGTTCTCTCCTCCTTACCCACGGCGGTGGAGTGCTCACCGGTGAAGAGGTGCGATGGATTGGGTTTTCGTTTAGGGGTGGCTTGACGTGGAAGGACTGGTCTCTCTGAATCTGGACATCCGGCTGTTTGACTATCAGTTTTGCTCACTACAAGAAATATGGATATTAGTAGCAGTTCACGGTAGCACGAATTCACGAACTGCTACCAAAAACATAAAATCGGATCACAACTCTACCGTAGCATTAAATACACGCTAAGAAAGAATTTCATTAAAGGGAAATGGGAAAATCGATTTTGTAACTGAAATATCATATTTTGGAGGCAAAACACTTAGGTAAAATTTTATTTTTCCGCCACTTAAACAAAAATTTTGATTTTTCTTTCCAAAGAAAAAAAAATCATTCATCCCTCTTCTCTATCTTTCTTCTCCTCCATTAACAGATCAAATTTCTCTCTCTTTAGGTTTTCTATCTTAAACTTCGACAAAACAAAGCCATTTCTCAATCAATTGAAACTCCAAACCCGAGTTACTATTACCTCAATCCCACCCCTGGTATCTCAATCTGAACCACGAGTGCTCAAAGCCGCGACACCACCTGGTCCCTGCTCGTTCCACGCCGTGATTACTCCGAGTTGTCCCGTCTTCTCCTTCCTCGTGGCTGACTTCATCCCCTCGACGATTCACGCCGTCGTCGTCACTATCCTGCTCAACTGTCAACCGTCGCAATTCTCAGCTAATAGTAATGCCCATCTCGACCTCCAATCATCATCTGCTATCCCTCTACCGGCATCGTTGGGCTCCAGATCCGGAGAGAGAAAGCTTCGACCCTCTCCAATGGTGGAGTTTTACGTATTTGGAAGACAGGTCCCTCAACTTCTGCTTGTTTTTGATCTTTGTTTCTAGAGCAGCCCGAGTTTGAAGATGGTTTTAACCACGAGTTTAAGCAAATATTTGAGAATTTTAACTTCAGGGGAACTTGATTCCTTTTGAGGTAAGACTCTTTTGATTCTTGAAACTGGAAAGTTCTTGTCTTTATAGCTAAAAAGTCAATCTGTTTTGGTAAGCTTGTTGTGTGTGTGCGTTTTGTTCTTACATTTTGTATTATTGTATAAATATCACATTGTATGGTATCATTGTGAGATTTAGTTCAATATGGTTTCTCTGCCTTTGATTGTTCTACTAGGTGTTTCCCTTTTTTCAGAGAACAAAGTTATAGATGAATCTCATAGCTTGAATGTTAAGGACAGAGTCACAAAAACCCAGATTTGGGATACTGCTGGTGAAGAAAGGTTTCTTCTCGATCTGTGTACTGTGTTCTTTACTTCTTTGTTGATCCTCAAGAACTGAATTGAAAGTTTAAATATTTTGCTGTAGATTGGTAGAGAACTCTTACATTCCTGTGTGTTGTTCTGTATGAAGAGCTTAAGCAAGCTTTAGATCTGTCTCTGTAGGTTTTTGAACTATGAAAATGATATAAATTTTTCATTTTTATTGATTATTTTTACCAATGAGTGCTTAATATATAGTTAGTAGAACAAAATTATGGCTTTGACGTCTCTGTTCCAGTTATGATTTGTGAGTTCTGATCTTTTTGGCATTGCTTTTCATTGTGTTCGTCTCTGTATCTATGGACGTTTGGGATCGTATGTATCTAGGGATGCTCTTTATACTTTGATAATTGTTACAATGCAATGCAAGCTGAGATCCATGTTTCGTTCTTGCTCTCTTTATGATCTTTTATGCAAATTTCATGTGACTATTTCCCAAGTATGAGGGTGATATTAATCTGATATCTAGCGTTGGTGGCTCTCTTGTTGCCTATTTTTCAAGTTTTCTGTTACCAAAATAAGCTTTTGTGAATTCTCTGTGACTTGCACTCTTTCGTTTGTATTGAGAAACTTCATTGCTTCTACATATTGATAAACAGTTTGATAGCTTATACCAAGTTTGATGGGTTTCTTCTTCTTGCAGAAGAGATATGGCGTTGTTCAAGGCTATATAAAGAGAGACACAGTGATGTTGTTTTCATTGTTGGTGGAGCTCTTAGTTTAGATCAGTCCTTGTCAAATGGCCTGAATGACAAATTCTTTTTGTTTCTTATGGTCTTGTTTTCTTTGTGTTCTTGAAGGGTATTGTAAGAAATGGATAACGTCAGTTGATTGTCTGCTGATGAGGTTGCCTAAACTTGGTCATTCGTAGATCTCGCTGTCAACGTAAGCTGGAGGTTTCTTATTCGTGGTTTCTTATTCATGGTCTACGTAAGAGAGCTGCTTGTTACACAAAGCTAGGAGCATTGCCAGAGGGATTGAAAGATGCTGAGAAATGTGTGTCTTTGATTGATTCATGTGTTTGGAGTGATTATTTAAATGATTTAGCTCGTTTACTTGATGAGCTAATAATTAATCTACTTGTGATTTATTAGTATATATAGATTCCAAATCAAATTCCATATATATATATATATATATATATATATATATATATATATATATATATATATATATATATATATATATATATTTCTTTTTCAACAATCAAATTCCATATATAAACTCCAAATACTTGTGTTTTATGAGATAAAGAAAATTTAACACTAATGATAAATTTGATAAACACAAAAATAATATTTTTTTACTTAATGTTCTAAACCCTAAACATGCCCTAAACCCTAAATACAAACTTTAACATTTATATTTTTAAACTGAAATTCATAAATATAAACCTCTAAATTTTATCTTTTAACTCCAGACTTTGTTATTAAACATTAAAGCCATTGTTTACATAAATATAAATTAAACACACAATCTGTAATTTTCAATTAAAAATACAAAATAAATAGAAAAAATAGTTAATAAGTATATAAATATAAATTCTATCAAATTCTTACATAAGTTAATTTTCAAATTTAAAATCTTAACCTCATACTTTACATATCTAAACTCTAAACCTATAATCTAAACTTTATATCAAACTTCAAACCCTTCAAACCCTAACACTAGTGTTGTGATATATGGTGTGTATATATATCATAATATCATATATACATATATCATAACTCAAATTACATACAAAATAATAATCTTAGCTTTCAAATATATTTTAAAACTCAAACCATATACTTAATTTTAAATCTTTAACTCTAAACCATAAACCACAAATCTCATATCAAACTATATCATAAATCAATAGAATTTTAATTTTAACTATTTTAATTAATCACACAATATGTCAAAATTTAGATTTCAAATTTAAATTATAATATCAGACTATTTATAGTTTTAGATAGTTTTTATAATAACTACTATAAATAAATAAGAAGACAATTTGTCTTGTTTTTATTGAGCAGTTGATCAAATTAGATCAAAGGTCCACAATAAATCTTCTATCAATCCTCCTCCTTTGTTCCTATTGGCTAGGCGCGGATCACAATTGTTCACCGTTAGATGGTATCTAATGTAACGTCTGAGATTAATTGCTTTTTTCATTTTTTTAAACCTAAAATTTAATCGCTGGTGAAGCTCCTCACCTCTTCTTCTTCTCTCTTTCTTCCTTTAATTTTTTCTCTGTCTCGCTCCTTTCTTCTCAGATCTCTTTTTTTTTTTTTGAGATCTATCTTAACCTCACTCACACACGATTCATCTCACATACATCTCTCTGTCTCACTCTCCTAATCTCTCTGTCTCACATACGACACATCTCCAACCATCTTCCGAAAGGCAGAGGAGAAGCGATGTTAAAGGCACGACAGATTCGTCGCTGGTCAAACTCTGCGTTGGCTTCACCTCCACACCACCACCGCAGGTCAACTCACTCCACCTTCCTCTTATCTGCTCTCTTCTTCTCGTCATGTTATATATTATGATTGACTTTTGTTTTGTTTACAGATTTATTAAGGAGCAAGGGAAGGAGAAGCAGTGGTGTTACATAGCGGCGTATCCGGTCAAGCGTGGTGCAGCGATGGTTCAAGACGGTGATGAGGTGGTGGTCGTGCGGTGGAGATGCGAGTATCATGGTCGGCGGATACTGAAGAAGAATGTAGTTTAGTGGCTGTATTAGGTTTAGTTAGGGTTATTAGTTAACCAATATGTAATTGTAAACCAATGTAATTGTAAACCAAAATTCAATTTATAAAGCACAAATTTATTTATGTTCAAAAAAAAACTACAAATTTATTATTTTTTATCAACTAAACGTTTTATTTATAAATTAGACCAAATTAATAATAATAATAATAAGAAGAAATTTTAATTTTTTTCTGCAAACGATGTATTAATTTTAATATCCATAGCATTGAAAATATGTCTTTATAGATTATGTTATAGCTAAATGAAAACGCCATAGAAAATAATATAGTAGCCAAAATAAAGTAAAACAATTTAATATAGTAATAGATAAACGCTATAATATCTCTACTTTTTATAGCATACGAAAAAAAGCAATGATAAAAGGGAGATCTACCATAGCTGCGGCTGTCACGGCGTTCTTCGAAACGCTACGAAAACCTTAAGATAGCGTTTTTCGGGTGCTATCAATACCAATATTTCTTGTAGTGGCTGTCTGCTATGAGGACGGTGGACGCGGCTGTGACGGAAGAAGGCTGAAGGCGGTGGAGGCGAGTGGGTTGCGGGGTACGGTTTCGACCAATCCAAGCGTCTGCTTCGAACCGGCGATACCGACCAGTTCCGGTGGTTTCCTCTTCCTTTTGCGCTTTCTGTTTTCTTTTCAGGTGCTCTCCAAAAGCGGATCTCGCTGTTTGTGTTCGGTGGTGATCTCTCACCCCTTGCTTCTTCGGCTTCCTTGCCGCCGGAAGCTCTTTCATCTTTCGGTTTTATGGCTCCGATGCTCCGGCTCAGGCGATGAATCGCGGCCGACGTGGCGCCTCCTCGGAGGAAGGTTCCAGCAGATTCAATTTGGTGGCGGCCGTCATCTCCTTTGCTCTCCTCGCGGTCAATTAGGGTTTTTAGGCCTAGTCCTGGTTTGGTAAACCGGTTTGTGCGCTGGTTTTGGTTCTTTTCATTTCTTAGGTTTATTTTTTTATTTTTATTTAAATTCCAGCTGTTGTATGTTTGCAAAAGAAACAAAAAAACTAATACGAAAGCCTTTAAAAAAGTAGATAAAAAGTGCTTCTTTTTTAATAGTATTGATTGGTAAAGATGCCTCCCAGTTAAGCCTAGTCGATCTGAATCGATCTGAATGTCCAAATTAATCATAAATATAAATATTTGAAACATAAATATCTAGTTTAAATATTCAGTTCTAGATTTATTTTAAAATGATATTTAAAATTAATTATCTAAATTTTAACTAAGTACTTTAATATCTAATTCTATAAAAATAAGTATCTTTCTTTTGTTTTGGTTTTATATTTTAGATTACCAAACCAATATAACCCGAATCCGAACGATATATGGTTACTTTATCGGTTTTAGGATGTGTACAAATTAGAACCAAACCCGACGTGTTATATTTTAATCTGATCCATACTTACAAACATGTCTACTTACATATTATGACACCTACGATGTGATATAAATTAGCTTTGCTTCAAAATATTCGACCCGTATCCCAATAGGTACTTGAATTCCCAAGCATAACTTATATTATGTTTTATATTTTGTTAAATTAATTTTATATTTGATAAATATTTTTTCTGTTTATTATAATAACCCGTAGAATTATAATCATAAAAATATCAGTAATAACATGTTTCATCATATAATTAAATATTCATAGTAGCTATTATTAATATTTATTTTATAAAAAATATTATATATATAAACGATTTTAAGACTTTATCTATGAAAATTATAATATTATGTATTAGTGGAGGTTTGAAAAAAAATTGTTTATTATTATTTTGTGTATCAGTTACATATAACTAAATGTTAATATCTTATATCCCAATGTTTTAATTTAGATATGTATATTAACATATAAAATTATTTCATTTTTAATATCTTATGGTAGTATTTTGTTATTTAGTAAATTTAATTCATCTAGTTTATAATTTATAAAGTTGATTAAATTATATTATAATTATTATTTTGTGTAATTTTTAGTTACAAATATGAAATATTTATATATAAATGTTATAGAACGTTAGTTCTTATTTTATAAATCAAAATGAGTTAATACTCATTTATAATTTAATTTAATATTATTTACGTTTTTATTATTAAAATAATATTAAAAAATGAAAATTTATTTTTAAAATAAAAATATATTAAAGATATTGTTAAAATGTAATCTGAAAAAATTAGTTAAGATTATCTTTTTGATATCTTATTTTGAATATATTTAAATATTATATTAATATTATATTGTTATTTAATAATAACTAAGTTTGTTATATGTAACATAATACAAAATTAAATAAATATTATATAATATTTTGAGATAGATTACTTGCAAGTAGATAAAAAGTGCTTCTGTTTTAATAGTATTGATCTTATCTAACTTAACTAATAATAGATGTAGATCACTGAACTAATCTAATAAAAAATATACAATGAGGATACGTAGTACTATTCACAAATAATGCATTTGTTATATCCTTCTTATCCTATTTTTATCTAAGTAATGATTTTTTACATCTTTTTCACGTTCTAACATCTCATTCTCTAAATGTTGACAAAAAAAATCTATGTAATATATATCTATTTTTCATTGTGGAATGGTTAGATTGTCGTTGTAACGTTTTGAATAAATAGTTGGTTGGGTAGAGCAAAGTTGCCGAAGAATTTCAACAGTTTCAGATTTTGTTTTAGCGGTTTCTTTAAAACGAGTCCTTTGAAGAGCCTAGAGTAGAGATTAGATCAAGAAGCGCCGTGTTCTTTATAATCTCCGTCAAGTCTCCGTTAGGTAAGAACCCTTAAACCAAAAATTATTATTCCGTTCAGGAATTGCTAACTGGTTCTTAGAATGTTTGCTGTATCAAGAAAATGAAAGCGATTTCTTGCTGATGAAAAAACGTTTGATGATGTTAATAGAAGATGGAAACAAGGACAAGATGAAAGGAAGAAGAAGAGATTACGAGGACGATGATGACAGTGTGATTAAAAGGAAACAACTTGTGGAGATTATGGAGGAAACGATTTGTTTATTCTGGCTGTTTTTACGTTTTGATAGGCTAACTAGTTTGATTCATATTCAGAAATCTCGAACCAAGTTATTGGGCTGTGTTATGTAAAGCCCGATAGGGTTATTGTTTAACCGTCATCGAGAATGTATATATATGACTTGTGTACTCGTTTAAGGACAAGAAAGCATATTCAGTTTATTTACATGGTATCAGAGCAAATATCCTGAAACCCTAATTTCTATACTTTCTCTGTTTCTTTTGTTTTTCCTTTTCTTTCCCTTTAAGTTAGAACCTCTCTTTTTGTTCGAGCTTGTTTCTTCCTTTTCTTTCCCTTCAAGTTAGAACCTCTCTTTTTGTTCGAGCTTGTTTCTTTTTACGTCATCTTCTAATCTCAATTATGAGTTACAAAGTATGCTGGTGATTCCGGCGTAGTAACACCATACTCGTTGCACCCTTCTAATAATCCAGGGGCAACGATTACCCCCATTTTGCTAACAGGAGACAACTACAATGAGTGGTCTTCTGAGATGTTGAACGCTCTCAGCGCTAAGAAGAAGATAGGGTTTGTAGATGGCTCGATTGTCAACTCCATCACTGCTGGAGCTGAGTTGGAGGCTTGGACATCGGTGAATTAGATGGTTATTGGATGGCTGCGAACCTCGATTACTCCTCGGGTTCGATCTACAGTCTCGTTTCTTACCAGTGCACACGAGCTGTGGGAAAACCTAAAGAAGAGATTTTTCGTGGCAACAAGGTTCGAGTTCATCATCTTCGAGCTCAACTCGCGGCGTGTTGTCAAGATGGCCAATCCGTTATTGATTATTACGGAAAGATGGCGACCATGTGGGATGAACTCTACACATACAAACCCATTCCATTGTGTACTTTCGGAGTGTGTACTTGTGGAGCCTCAGCTAAATTCGGTAAAGAAAGAGAGGAGGAGAAAGTACAACAGTTTGTTATGGGCCTCGATGAATCACGAATTACTTCTATCATCGATGCTGAGCCTTCTCCAGATCTGGAACAAGTGTATTCTAGAGTAATAAGAGAAGAGCAAAGACTCACCACTCTTAAGTCAAGAGAAACAACAGAAGCCGTCGGGTTTTCCACACGAGGCGAAGCTTCTGGTTCTGAACTGCGTGTTGACTCTGTTGCAAGCAAACGCAGAGATCGTTTGCTCTGTTCTCACAGTGGTCGCTCAGGACACGAAAAAGCTTTTTGTTGGAAGCTAATAGGATATCCGGAGTGCGTCACCAAACGCAACACGTAATGGTAGAAGAGGAAGCAGTCGTGGTGGTCATAGCAGCTCGGGTCCAGCTGCAGGTCGCGGAAAGGCTTCCGCAAATGTTGCTCAAGCAACTTCATCTCATTCTTCCGTTTTCCCAGACCTCACTGCTGATCAATGGAGGGCACTCAGCTTGCTTGCTCAAGAAAAACAGAGTATGCAACAAAAGCCAAACTTTCTGGTAAGTTCTCCGGTGACATTATTATCGACACCGGCGCTTCTCATCACATGGCAGGGGACTTATCGTTACTCACTGATCTTGTTGATACACGTCCATGTTTAGTGGGTTTTGCGGACGGAAGTAAAACGTACTCTGTTCATATGGGACTAATGTTTATAACCGCTACTGTCTCTCTTACGAACGTTCTTTACGTTCCAAAACTCAATTGTTCATTGATTTCTGTTTCTAAACTTCTTAAGCAACTGAAAAACTGTGTTTCTATGTTTACTGATACTTTGTGTATTGTCCAGGACCGTTTCACGAGGACCCTAATTGGAGCCGGTGAAGAACGGGATGGAGTGTATTATCTAACAGATGTAGCAACAGTTCGAGCTAACAAAGTTGGAGTTGTTTCTGATCAGACTTTGTGGCACCAACGGTTGGGACATCCAGCATTTTCTGTGTTTCATCTTTGCCTATTTCTGATGTTTTAAAATCGTCTGCCCCGGGTCCTTGTGACGTTTGTTTCCAGGCTAAACAGACAAGAGAAGTTTTTTATGATAGTTTCAATAAAACTACAGCATGCTTTGATTTGATACATGTTGATGTTTGAGGACCGTATCGTACTCCATCAACCGCGACGCGTCACCCTTTTTGGGACCTCTTCCTTTAAATCAGCTTTCTCAGCCTTCTCAACCTTCTTTAACTCAGCCTTCTCTTTCCTCTTTAACTCAGTCGCCTTATTTTCCTCAGCCTTCCGTCGCCTTAACTCAGCCGCCTTTTTTTTTCTTAAATCAGACGCCTCCTTCTTCTTTGCTAACTCAGCCACCTCATTCTTCTTTGCTAACTCAGCCGCCTCCTTCTTTGCTAACTCAGCTTCCTCTTTGTCCTTCTCTTTAACCTCATTTCCTTTTACTTTTAACCTTACCATGTTTCTGCGTCCTAAAGTTTGGTCCTTTGCACGAGAAATACCAACGAAATCAACGTCGTCAGCCAAATTCTTTTGCACGGCCTTAGTAGGTGTACTATTGACAGAGGCCTTAACAGGTGGACTATTAACAGAGGCCTTAGTAGGTGGAAAATTGATAGAGGCCTTAGCAGATAGACTATTGACTGAGTGCTGCGGAAAAGACCTCGGTGGTGGCGGTGGCAGTGGCGGTGATGGTGATGGCAACGATAAAGATTGTTCAGGAACTTTAGAGAAGTACTCCTCCACTGCAACTCTGACTAAATCAACAAAATTCGTATCTCTGGACTCGATATCTCTGGACGTAAACACTAAAACATAAGAAACAAAATGTTTCTTTTGTAAACATTAAGCTGATCTTAGATAT